AGTATCTCAAAAATGCTAGAGCTTTGAATTCCATTTCTGATGTACACTAAAGACTTGACTGATAAACACATTTCCTCCTCTTCCTTCTCTTCTTCTCAATCCATCCTTCCTCCATTCTTCTTTCCCTTCCTTCCTTCCTCCCTCCCTCCCTCCCCCCTTTTATCCCTTCCTTCCTTCCTTCCTTCCTTCCTTCCTTCCTTCCTTCCTCCCTCCCTCCCTCCCTCCCTCCCTCCTTTCTTCCCTCCCTCCTTCCTTCCTTCCTTTGTTGGATTCTTGTTTGTCCAATGATTTGAGGGGATTCTGCCTCTTTTTCTTAGCTACAAAAGGCCATATTACCTTTGGAGAAGCAGTAGCACTTCCCAAGGCTTTCTGTCAATTTGTTGGCAGCTATGTTCAAGAGTGTACTACAAACCAACAGAAAACTTTATTCAAACACCGATTGTTGATTATCCAGCAGTGACAAGTGAGTAAAGGTCTAGTTAATCTGCTACCCAATATGTAGAACTGAGTTTTCCATCCAGGATGAAAGTATATATTTTTCTCATTTCCCCTGAGCTTTTCATTATATTCATCCTTCTACACTGAATAATACCATGATAATAAAATTATTGGCTTTTCAGTTATGTTTTTTTCTTTGAGGAAAAAAAAAAAAGGAAACAGTCATTCATTCTCCAGAACACTTACCACCGAGTAAGCTTGTCTGGATGATAACCCTGTCATTCAGCACCACAGACTCTTTTGATAACAAGCCATTTATTTATCTATGTAAAATTTATTTTAATGTTTATTGTTTTTGTTCTGACCTTGGCAGTATTTTCATACCATCTTTTATTGTCCTTCCCACTTGACATCTCTATTCCTTGTGCATTAAAAAAACCTCTGCACTTAACATTATTTCTTTCTAACATTTCCAAACTTTTCTTCTCTAGTTAGTTTGTCTGGTCCTTTTTTACTCATCCTAGAGAGTACAAGGGCATGAGCCACCCAGAAAAACTTGATCCTCTTCTATTCCCTTGGGCAATATTTTCATTTAAACATCCCTCCCCTTCCTTCCTCCCTTCCTTCCTACCCTTGTTCTCTCAGTCACAGATTACTTAAATATCTTTTAATCCTCCATCAATATTTTGCACATCAGTCACAGTGAATTTTTTTTTTAAATAGAAGTCTGATCACACGTGCCCCTTTCCTGCTTATAATACTTCAATGACTTCTCATTGTCAAAGAGAATAAAGATCTGGGCCTCCTCTGACATATAAGCACCATTGTATCATGTCTCCTATGAGGCTTTTCAAAGCTGCACCAGCCACTTCTGACTGCTTCTGATCTATAAATGGGACACCCTTGACTTAACTACCTGGCTTTCACTTTTTCAATGGCAACTCCCTTCTCTTGTCTCTGTCTACCTCCCCTCTCTCCCTTCTCCTATAGTCTTCTCAAGATATCTCTCCCCACCCGTCTCTCTCTCTCTCTCTCTCTCTCTCTCTCTCTCTCTCCTCTCAGTAGTAGGGATTGAACTGAGGGCTTCACACATGTTAAGCAAGCCCTGCACCACTAAGCTGCTCCTCAGCCCTTTTTATTTTTAATTTTGATACAGAGTCTCAGTAAGTTGACCAGGCAGGCCTCAAACTTGCTTTTCCTGCCTCAGCTCCAGAGTTCACCGGACACGTTTACTATCTCACATTCCCTTCTAGAAAATAGTCTCTGGAAACTCTCACCCCAGATTCCATTCTCAGCTCTCCCACTTTCTAGTTCTGGACCTATATAAATTATTCTTTCTCTTGGTGCTTCAGTTTCCTCATCAGTGAAGCAAAGTCCTCATTCTAGTCCTCATCCCCTCAGGCTGTTGTGCAAACTAAATGAACAAGTAAAAATGAGTCACATAATGAATACCACAAGACAGTAATATCACATTTCAGTTAGCTTAACAATAATATAAAGGCAAACCTACTAGGCTGATAAATAGAAGAAAACACTCTGAAGCCAAATATAGATAATTTGGAGCTTAATAATTATTTAAGATCAATTATTTTCTGTTCTCTTTTGATTCTTAGAATAATAAGTATGTAGTCCATGTGTGTGTGTGTGTGTATGCATGTGTGTGATTGAACCCAGGACACTTTACCACTGAGTTATTGTGCTATATCCTCAGTCTTTTTTTAAAAATTTATATATGACATCAGAATGCATTACAATTCTTATTATATAGAGAGAGCACAATTTTTCATATCTCTGGTTGTATACATAGTATATTCATACCAATTCATGTCTTCATACCTGTACTTGGGATAATAATGATCATCACATTCCACCATCATTTCTAACCCCATGCCCCCTTCCCTTCTCCTCCCACCCCTCTGCCCTGTCTAGAGTTCATCTATTCCTCCCATGCTTCCTCTCCCTATCCCACTATGAATCAGCCTCCTTCTCTCAAAGAAAACATTTGGCATTTGTGTTTTTGGGATTGGCTAACTTCACTTAGCATTATCTTCTCTAACTTCATCCATTTACCTGCAAATGCCATGATTTTATTCTCTTTTATTGCTGAGTAATATTCCACTGTGTATATATGCCACTTTTTAAAATTTATTCATCTATTGAAGGGCATCTAGTTTGGTTCCACAGTTTAGCTATTGTGAATTGTGCTGCTATAAACACTGATGTGGCTGTGTCCCTGTAGTATCCCGTTTTTAAGTCCTTTGGGTATAAACTGAGGAGAGGGACAGCTGGGTCAAATGGTGGTTCCATTCCCAATTTTCCAAGAAATCTCCATACTGCTTTCCATATTGGCTGCACCACTTTGCAGTCCAACCAGCAGTGTATAGTGGACCTTTTCCCTCACATCCTCGCCAACATTTATTGTTGTTTGTATGCATAATAGCTGCCATTCTGACAGGAGTGAGATGAGATCTTATAGTGGTTTTGATTTGCATTTTTCTAATTGCTAATGATGATGAACATTTTTTTTATGTATTTGTTGATTGATTGTACATCATCTTCTGAGAAGTGTCCGTTCATGTCCTTGGCGCATTTATTGATTGGGTTATTTGTTTTTTCAGTGCTTAGCTTTTTGAGTTCTTTATATACCCTAAAGATTAGTGTTCTATCTGATATGTGAGGGGTAAAGATTTGCTTCCAAGATGTAGGCTCTCTATTCACCTCACAGATTGTTTCTTTTGCCGAGAAGAAACTTTTTAGTTTGAGTCCATGCCATTTATTGATTCTTAATTTTAATTCTTGTGACACAGGACTCTTTTCTCCAGTGCATGTTCTTGGCACCTTTGTCTAATATAAGATAATTGTAGTTTTGTGGATTAGTCTCTGTGTCCTCTATTCTGTGCCATTGGTCTACCAGTCTGTTTTGGTGCCAATACCCATGCTTTTTGTTGTTGTTGTTGTTGTTACTATAGCTCTGTAATATAATTTAAGGTCTGGTATAGTGATGCCATCTGCTTCACTCTTCGTGCTAAGGATTGCTTTAGCTATTCTGGGTCACTTATTTTTCCAGATAAATTTCATGATCGCTTTTTCTATTTCTATGAGGAATGCCATTGGAACTTTGATCAGAATTGTATTAAATCTGTATAGTGCTGTTGGAAGTGTGGTCATTTTGATAATATTAATTCCATCCTCAGTCTTTTTTGAAAATTTTTTTGAGATGAGGTCTCAATCAGTTGCTCAGGCTGGCCTCCAACTTGCATCCTCCTGACTCAGCCTCCTAAGTTGCTGGAATTACAGGTGTGCACCACTGTACTAGTTTTGAATGTAAGATTATAATGAAATGGATTTAAATAAATGAATGCCTATATTGGAAAGGAAATAGAAAAGTAAACATATAATAAACAGTTGCTTTCTTAGTCTCAGTTGAAAATATTTTGGGAATATTACCAAGACTTAAAGCTTTCAGGATAATTATTTTTTCCTATATTGGGAGGTTAGAGTGAAAGTTTGACATTGTACAAACTCTGATGATTCATATAAATACCATAGTACTCAGATTAAAGACTATGCTGTGTCTAGGACAAATTACTTGAGTTTGAGGTTTGAAGTGGTACAGAGGCTCAGATCTGTAGCCATGCTTAGGATCTCTAGGGGACTAATGAATGAGAGAAAAAAATGTGCCTTCAGTTGTTTCCTGGAGTGCTGTTTAGATCTCTAGTTGATTCTGCTTCTATTTAAAGCAATGGTCCTGGGTAGCTAGAATAAATCCTGACGTGGATACATAAAAGATTTCATAGTTGGGAACATAGTGTAAGGCCTGGAATTTAGTGAAGCTGTAAGTTTAAATGAAAGCACCCTCCATATCTGAAAGGAATGAGAAATCTGAGAAAATGTCAGGCAAGGACTTCTTGGCCTCCTCAGCAGCCAGGGCTAGAGTTCTCCAGGGACAAAGTCTAAATTATTGACCTCCTTGAAATTGCTCTTGAGGATTTAGAGCTAGTCACTGTCCCATTTATTCATTGTCCAAAGCAGGATTCTGTTGAAAGAGAAGGGGGTCTGGTTATTTCCATAGCCCTGATTTCCTCAGGGAAATAGCAGAAGTAAGGAATACTAACAAAGGGTCTTGTGGTCACCCTTAAGTTGGAGCAAGGAGAGATGGTAAATACCAAACAGCAGTAATCATATTTTTAAAAATTGTTTCTCTGCCCCTCTATTTGTCTCAGTCTGTTGAAGTGTAGGTGTAGTGCTCAGAAGACTCATGCAATAATAAAAATTTCCACATAGGAAAAAAACCTCCCTTCTGTTAAAGTGTCACTAAGTTGTAAATCACATGATAATAATAAGATTGTGATGAGATTGTAATGTTTATGAAGTCTCTATACACCATCTGACAAAATATGTTCCATGTTTTTTTAAATGACCATCAAATTTACACCTGATAGGATCTACTGTTATCTGCAATAATATATTTATGCCATTACCTATCTATTTAAATGAAATTTGAATATTTATTTCTCCTTACTCTTACTCCTGATCACATCCTGGGCATCTTTTCTATGAAGCTGAGTCATCCAATGGTGGCTATTCCTGAACATGAAACTCTCGATTCCAAAGAGGTAAATGTAAGACACAATTGGAGATCTAGTTATGCATTTCTGTGTGATATGGATTGTAAGAATAAGCCAATTTTATTTTTTTTAATGCTAGAAAAAATATGTTTTTGCAAAGAAAGAGTTATAATTGCCTGGGCTACTGTGTTGTTTGGAAGCATCTCATCATTTAATAAGGGTATTCTTGCTGTGTGTAGCACCTTGACCACGAAACAACTTCCTCAGTCTTCCTATGTCTGTCTTTGTGATTTTTCTCTTTGGGTCCATGTGTGAAACCACTCAAGGCTTCTCTCTCTAGAGGGCCAAGGAATGTCCCATAATACTATAGTGTGTTTCTGGACAGGGTCGCAGTGTCGATGGTGTCTCCATTTCAGTTCATGGGAAGGTGATAGTGCCAATGAGCACTCCCAACCTCCACCAGGAGAATTTGTACACTGTGTATGTCGCACATAGGCAAAGTGCTGTTGGCTCAGTCACAGCCTCTAAATTTAATGCCAGTGTTTGTTCATTTCATGTTTGGAGGAGACAAACAAAAATAAATTAAAACCACCTTCTTTTATTTTTTGCAAATGCTATACCATACAAAGAAAACAATTCTGTAAAAATACTCTCTGTATGGTTTAGTTTTGTGTTCAAGAGAAAGGATAATTGAACAATGTTTTCTTCCACATCATTTTAGATAAAATGGAAAATGTGAGGAAAAAAAAGCAACTTTAAAGAATTTTTTTTAAGAAGGGAATGAATTCACACATTCATTTTAGGTACATTTACAGATGAAGTATGCTTAATATTGCAGTCTCCAAATTTAGAAAAAAACAAGCATAAAACAAAAGAGAAATAGAAATAGTAAAATTCCAAATAAAACTTGAATTTACCTTTCCAATATATATTTTCTACAATTTAGAGTATGTTATATATTTTTCATAAACTGACATCCTTATTTCTATACATTTAATATTTCCTGTCATACAAGACCAATGTGGTTTTCTACTATTACATTAGTCTAAAATGCAAAGGAGTGTTTTAATAGGTATGCATTAATACTTGACCATATCTGACTGTTTTTAAGGTATCCTAAAGACAGGATTATTGGTTTATTAAGTGTAAGCATATAGCACACTTGTAACTGTTCCATAAAGTGTAGCAACTCACCTCACCAGGTGTGTGCTATAATACCTGTCTCTGTGTATTATTATTATTATTATTATTAATAATAATAACAGTAGTAGTACTAGGATTGAACCCAGGAGGTTTAATCACTGAGCCACATCCCCAGCCCTTTTTATTTGTATTTTGAGACAGGGTCTCACTAAGTTGCTTAGGGCCTCCTTAAGTTGCTGAGGCTAGCTTTGAACTTGTAATCCTCCTGCCTCAGCCACCTGAGAGTCTGTGATTACTGGCATGTGTCACTGTACCAGGCTTGTCTCCATGTATTCTTGCCATCATTGAAAGTTAATATAATTGCAAATTTATTGAGAACTTACTATATGTTAGAGATAGTGTTATGCAGTTTACCTTAATCTTTACAAAACATTTTCTAAATTAAGTAATCTTATTTTTCCAAGTTTACAAATGAGGAAACTGAGGTTGAGGGAATTCCCTTTATTGCCTACATGTAATCAAATAGCTGGGAAGAGTTTACACAATCATGAATTAAATCAAGATCTGACTGGAGCTTGGGCTCTTAAGTGCTCCACTATACATTATCCAGTATCTAAATTAAAGATCCTAATTAAGAAGAAGACCTTTATCTAAATTTGTCTATTTTTATCTAAAAATCTATCTATACTCTCTAGGTCTTTCTACATTTTAACATCATATTTACAAATATTTTCCAACTTAAAAAAGAAATAATTTTTCATATTTGCATTTGAAAATTCTGCAGTTTTGTCTGTTTTCTATTTTTCTTTTGAATTATGTTGTGTATTTATTTACAGGTATTCTAATGTTTTTATTGAGTAGTATATCCTTTTATATATTGAGGATATTATCTATGTCAAATATGATAGCCCTTTCAGTATATAATGATGGCAAATTGTATAAAAATGAAAAATCGGACAAACATATCTAAAAAAAGGAGAATTAATGAATTTTGCACTTTTCAGATGAGAGTAAAAATAATCAAATGTCTTTATTTCAAACACCATAATTTTGGAGCAAGTTCATTAGAAGATATCTACAGGATAATGTTTCTATATAATAAGAGAAAATCAGTTGGTATTTGAATAATAAAAGCATTCCATTCATATTATAAATTGAGAACTTTTGAATGTTAGATAATGTGAAAGACTTTGTGTTGCCAAAGAGAACAGAGTAGATGCAGTGTTTGAATTTTTTTTTCATCAATTATCACAACCCTATAGATGAAGCTTAAAATTAAGCTAGTGGATAAGATTGCCAAAAAATTTTCTTAAATCAGGTTTTGGATTATATGAAAAATGCCACAAAAGAAGCTAAAGTTTAATGATGTCAGAGACAAAAACTTTTACTGTTAAAAGAGGTGCAAATAATGAAGCAAACAACCCTTTTATGCTTCGAATGTGCTATGCTATTTGTAGAATATTGGCACATTTTGTAGTAATTCAACAGCTTTCCTCAACTCCTTATGATATACAGTTAGGCTGCAGTATTGGTCCATATATTTGCACAAAACCCATTCTCTGTCATTTATTTACTTGCAAAACATCACCAGAGAAAAATATCTGATTTTAAAAATCAACTCTAATCCCATCACCATGTGGCCTAGGAGAGTAACTACGGGCCCAGCTACTTATGCAAGTAAAGAATTATGTAAGAGGGCTTGATTGGACCTTGGGATTCCCCCCTTGATTTTTCTTTCATTTCCTAAAGACAGTACTTATTTCTTGAATCTAATCATGTTATTTGTAAATAAACAGCTTTTAAAATTAAGTCAGTAATTTATTTAAATCTATATAGATCTCAAATTCATTTAATTGACTGGCTGATTGCTTTTATAACTCACCTGATTTCTAAAGTTCATCTTAAAGGAACTAACTAATAAGTACAATTACACTTATTATCTAGCTCAGGGCTTAACTTGTTAGGCTGAACATTAGAATCACCTGTAGTGACTTTTCCAAGGAACCAATGGCAGGGCTTCACTCTAGGCAAATTGAATTAAGATTCTGGTGGTGGGCCAAGGCTTTTGGCTGGTTTTAAAATCTACCCAGTTGATTCTCATGTGCATCACCCTCTCCACTGGCAGTTCAGGAAAGTGAATCAAATCAGTTATTTAATTTTGAAAACATAGAATCGAAACTAACAGCAATAGATTTTTTTCAAAAATCATCACATTGAATGATTTCAATTACAAAACATGGGGGTCACATACTTCTATCCAGTGGCACAGAGTTATAACACGTGCTTTAATTTATGGTGGATTAACTTTAAGAGATGTGTTCAGAGATTCACTGTAATTTCCTTAGTAGAATCTGATATTTTCTGTTTTCCTTGACATTCTACACAGTGTTTGGATGCTGCTTAGGCTGAGGCTGGGTGAAGCAGGATGGCAAGCTGAGTCTGGGGGCTTAGGACACTCCGAACAATGTTTCATTTATACTTTATATGACATATGAACAAAAAACACTTGGCCACTGATGAACCCACATATAAACAGATAAGCCTCCTAAATAATCAGTTTGATTATTGTATCAACTGATTGCCTTTCATAGATTTCCACTTTCATACCAGTGTAGTAATCACCAAGTGGATGAATATTTAACACCATGCAGGGTGGGCATGTCCTCAATAAATATTTTCTGAGTGAATTTACTTTGAATAAAATTGAATTATATTAGGCAACAATTATTTTATCATATTTATTATATCTTGTGAATTCAGCACAAGATACTCCATATTCACTCTTTAACTCAATTCTTTTTCTACATGATTAATTATGAAAGTCATGCTGGGGAGTAAGATATAATCAGAACTTCCTTCTTTCCTTCTCCTGCTACATGAAGCCTATGGACTATTTCATTTTCACCTTGAGGGTCAACTAATTTCCAAAAACATTGTTAGATGCATCTGATTCTGACCTCTCAGATTCACACAACTTGAGAGTTAATCATTCACTAGCTGCCGGTAAAACACATACAATGCAAATTCTTCTCCTGTTTTCTTATTTCTTCTTTGCAGATTTTTGATAAACATTTAAGGGTTGTCAAGATTACAATTCTGACTGATTTGCTACTTTGTGGTATATAAGCATCTCATGTTCATTTTATTTTGAATTCCAGAACATCTATTGATGTCTGTTTCTGATTTTATGATTAGCTTTCTGTTGTTCTGTCTTTATTCTATAGATGAGAACATGGAAGAGACAAAATGAATATTTTGTTTATAAAAGCCACTCTCGCATTCTGGCTTGATCAAGGGTAAAAAATGAAAATTTCAAGAGTAATGGGCCCACTCTACTATTTTTAGGCAATTTTTAAAAAATATTATTTCTCAAAATCAATCTTTGCTAAATCTTGGATTGCTGAGAGTTCAAGGACCAGATAAATTGTCTTATATAATAAAGACAATGAATACAGGCACCTGAATGGACAGCCACCTTGGCCAGGCATCTGGAAGGATATTTCATTTATTTTTATTGGTGCATATTAATCATACAGTATCGTGTATTTCATTTGTGTCCTATCTATCTATACATAAAAACAAACTTATGAATATTTTATAAAACCTTAATTGTTGAATGTTTTATAACTCCTGCGTTATGGATACTAAATTCCAGTACCAGGTCTTATGTTTTTACATTGAAGATAATAGTTACATACATGTGCAAAATACATTTAAAATTATCCAGAAAAAAAGAACATAGCATTTAATAATAGTATGATATATATTTCTTGGAAATGGCTTTTTGTTTTGTGCACATGAAGCCTGGTTTTCATATCTTTAAGGACATATATGTTGATGACTTTGCTTTTGCTTGGCAGGAAAGAATATGTGTAGTTGGTTTTGCATTACCAGAAAATGAAAAATCAATTTACACAGCACATTCATTTAAAAATACTTTCAATAACATTGGCTTAAAGCTTCACAAGACTACACTCACTTATTAACCAAAGTTAACTTGAACCAAAAGAAAAAAAAGATTTTGGAACTTGACTCTCTTCAGAACTATGATTTTCAAAGTGCCTTAAGTTCATTCTGTCTTATATTTTCTTAAAACCCAAATGAGTGTGTTGTTCCATTGGCAACAAAATAATAAATCTTTGTTGCCAGAGTACTAGTCTGAAAATGAGGATTTATTTATTGAGGTATTTAGAGGCCTTCATTTTTTTTTCTTAAATATTTGCCATTGTTTCTCTCAAGTTATTTAACTCTTGTATCAAGATTGACAAAGAAAGTAAAAACTTGATAAAATGTCTAAAGTAATGACTCGTCACAATATATCTTTTCCAACCAGATGTTGAATTGTGGGGTCAAACATTCTTTTGATCTGTCAGTGGGTTCAGGGAGCACTGTGAGATCTTGCTGAGATGGCAGTGTGGTGGCAGGGTCACCTACTCTATTTCAACCTGCTTTAAATATTCATATAAGTCTAAAATATTATGTTTGAAAGGGACTGCAGAGGGACGTTTAGTCCAATATTATATTTAATATGAAAATCCTGCCTATAGCATATGTCTTTATATATCTTCTATTTAAAATCTTCTGATGACAGAGAATTTACCATCTCACAAAGCTCAATATATGCTTTAGTATGACAAGAAAAACTGATGACTATACAAACAATAAAAACAATAAACTAGGGTTTAATTTGGAATACTGGGGCCTTGGTGTGATAGCTAGTCCTCTTGAGACTCAAGTTCATTCTCTGTAAAATGGGATCAAAGGGTTATGGTGAAGATCTGAAGCAATGTGTATAAAGTGCTTAGCATATAAAATACGTAGCACTTGATAAATTTTAGACAAACAATCAGGATTTCTTTAAATCTCATATAATATTAACTACTATATATTGAGATTTCCAGGAAAATCAAATTAATAGTGTTTTTTATCTGTTAGAAAAATGAAGGAGGAGGTATACTTTATTCAAAGAAACCTGGATGAAGAAAGTTGCATCTTGCTTACTCATGACTGATGATTTTCTGTGGCCAGAACAAATCAGTGCAATCATGGAGCTACCCTAGTCTTAGTGTGTTTTTTCTCTCCTCCTAATCTAAGTAATGCAGTTTGTATAAATGATGTGCAGTACACTCATGCTTCTCTGTGGTGCTTAGCAGATAAACAGTGCCCTTCTCTGGGTTCCTTTCTGCCTTACTTGTCCCTTGCATGTGGGTCTCCTTCAACAAGGCTCTAAGCCACAGGTCTCTCAGACCACTGCTTCTTCATCCCAGTGATCTGGCCCAGAGCAAAACAGAGAGAGTTTCCTCCAGAAAATTAAATAAGCTATTTTATTCTCCACCTGCCATTTTGGAATGCTCCATTGTCAGCCATGAGTTGGCATCTGCAAATTGAAAATTTCAGGCCATTTCCTCCAATGGTGCCTTTCTATCACGGTGATCTAACAGAGTAGTTTTAGAAACAAGTTTCTCTTCTTGCCTCATCTCTGATGCTCTCTTTACACTTTTTTTTAGTACATATAATCTGACTTCATGGTTGCTAATAACTATTTCCACTTGGTTAAGTTTATCTTATCTGTTCCAGACAGTCTAACCCTGTCAAACAGGAACACACAGTGGCTGAATGAATAGAAAAATTATTGGGATTTCTCCTTTGCCATGTAGCAACATTATAAAGACAGGAAAATCAATATATGAAGAAAAATCAAGATCTCTCTCTCTCTCTCTCTCTCTCTCTCTCTCTCTCTCTCTCTCTCTCAGTGTTCTATTTTGCAAAAGCTGTGACTTAATCCAGTCTGTATTTACTTTACCTCTTTGCTTTAGATGTAACATTTTAGGGAATGAGGTAGTCAGTAATAAAGGAAGGTAGGCAATAGCCAAGACATTGAAGGGTAAGGGGTTGGTGTAGGATACAGCAGTGCTGTCCTTTAAGCCTGCACTGGTCCCTCAATGCCAGCCCAACCCTCAGTAGGGGACTAGTAGCATTCTGATGACTTCTCAAGAGATCAGAGTCTGATGTGAAGATGTAGCCTTATGTCATCAGTGCTGTTGATCAGGTAGCAAGAAAGCAGATAGTGAAGAAATAAAAACAACTTTTTTTCCTACAGCAAACATTTTCCCCCCATGGGATGGATGTTACACTCAAATCTTAGTGTATAATTTTCAGGTTTATTTTTTTTTGGATGTATTCATCTCCACTAATCTATTATTTCCTCTCATTTTGTAGCAATGAAGTTGGAGCAGAAATGAAAACATGGGCTGCAGAAGTCTTTTGGAGTGCTGGTGCTAACCACTTGCTAGGTTTAATTCTTATTTTTTTCAGAATGAGTGCTCCCTTTATGAGCAGCAGAGGAACTAAGAAAATTTTGCTGCAGACATACACCATTGCAGCACTCTACTAAACCCAGCATAGGAAAGATTCACCTGCAGCTTCTCACATCCCTGCCCAAGCCTTTGATGCCTTCTATTAAGCTGACAGCAATACTAACTTTCCCTATAGTTAGCAGGCAAAATAAAGAAGAATCATGAGTAAATAGAAGAATGGCTGCGACTGTTTTTTCAATACTAGTTTTATTTAATCCATATACTATTAACCGAATCAGGTTTTATTCCTTTTGCTTCATTTTTCACATGTTTGGAAGAAAAGAAGAAACATGTTTTGTTTTATTTTTATTTTTTGCAAGAGTTCCTGCCTACTTTCAGGGGATGCTTGTTACATGGGTTCATTGGGGAGATTGTGGACATGATGAAGTAGTTATTTCACATAACATGCTGCTTGCTTGTATCTTTGGAGTGCTGTGTTGTTGGGACAGACTATGTACCAGGGACAGCCCCGAGAAGATGATCATGATGTTGCTGGAGTGTCTCTACTATCTCTCTGCCTGCTGCCATGGGGTTCTTCTGCAGGCTACTGCAGAGTCAGATTGTTCTCATACTCTTGGGAACAGCAAAGACCATAGAGCAAACCCACACTCTTATTACAGTCATGGGAGCCCACCAGAGACACACCAATACCCACCATATTGGCCAGGTCCCATTGTTCCCCAGTTGTCATCCTTAGTAGTTGGTCTAGTTGGTCTTTGCCTCCTCTGGTGATTTCCTTCTCCACCCATCCTGGAAACCCAGGATAACACCCACTAAAGAAGAATCCATAGCAGTTTTGCACATGACTCATGTTCCTTTGGAGCCAGCTCTGAGCCACTGTTCCTTAGACCACTGTTTTGGCAATCCAATTGTCCTGCCAGGAGAGTTTCCTACAGAGAAAGCAACTGGGTTCTTTTGTTCTCCCATATCCTTTTAAGAACATCCCATTATCAGCCATGAGTTGGCACCTGGAGAGATAAATCTCCTCTGTTGGTGTTAGGAGGACAATGAGTCACAGGAAAGCACTCTACTTGAGTTTCTTGGCTCAAACAACAACTACTCCTCCACCAACCTTCTAAAATGTGTGAAGAATCACCTTAGGTTACTAATAATTATCTCTAATGTTTACTGTGCTCTTATTATGCACCAGACACCACAATAAGTGCTTTACATGAATATTATCTTACAAGGGGGAGCAATATCATTGTTGATGTTTATATTTGTGAAAACAGATACCTCCAAATGCTTACATCAAGCTAGTATGTGGCAGAGACAAAATTCAAATCCAGGTAATCTGGTTCCAAGACCAAGATATTTAATCAATTATTAGTTTTTTTCATTCGTTCATTTTTGGACTTCATGTGTAAAAGGTGAGTTGAACACACTCCCTAGCTCATAGCAGATTACTGTTTGGGTGTACTTGATGATTATTATTTATAACAATTTTATCTTCTTTTCCTTGCTGTAGGAACACATTCTTATGTGTTTAATGTTTATCTTTTGCTTATATGTTTTGAAGGTGTGCATTGTTCTGTTTGCATATATATTTAATAAATGTAAATGGCATTGCTTTTGCTTATGTTGTTTCTTTTTTTCTCCACACTCAGCACTGTTTAAAGCTCTACACAGATTGCTTCCTCAGAGATGCATGTTGCGGTCACATTATGTTTCACTTATTCACCTGCCCAGCTTTGGTCTCATAGGTCTCCGTATTATACAAACTGGTTTGATGCATATTGTTCTGTGTGCCAGTTTGTGGATCTTTATGAGGGTTTATCTGCAATGTATACTTAGGACTAGGCGTGTTTCATATGAAAGCATACATGCACTTCATTTCACTAAATCCTCCCAGATTGCTGTCTAGAGATACAACCATTCTCGTTTCCACCAGAAATGCATCAGGGATATAACATCTTCGAATCCCTTTCCATCTTTGAATGTCTGAACTTTGCAATGTTCAACCACACCATCACTGAAAGCAGCTCTTAAGATGGGATTTTGTTTAAAGGTAGCACCCTAGTCATCCTAAGTTTTCAAATTCTCCAATGCTTCGATACCTTTTAAGTGCAATTATTAGGTAAGTATTCTCTCTTTCATTGATGAAAACCTTGAGCCTGAAATGTTCTTTGAGTCAACACATCAGTGGATGATGAACCTAACATAAGACTTTTGGATTCCCCTGCTATGGTAATTCTTTAATAAAGAAAAGAGCTGCATCAGAATACTGTGTTCTAATTTATTTTATTTTTTCAATTTATTGTTAAAGATCAGAGTCTTAAAGCATGAAGAAAGGAGGGACAAGTATTGGTTATAGGTAGAATATGGGACAAGAGAATGAGCTGTTCTGGGGTTCTGAGCATGTTAAAGTACAACGGATTATTTTTGAGGAAGAAAGAGATGGGAAAATGTAGTATGGAATATACAAATATTGAGACCAAGTCTCTATTTGGATTCACCAGGAAACTTACTCTAAGACAAGAATTTGACTAAGCAGTTATTTGGGAAGAGATCACCAGAAGAACACAGCTATGGGATTGAAGAAGGGTCCTATAATATAGCCACTTACTAAAATGGGCAACTGGAGCTAATTTCCACTGAGGGATTTGAAGACACAGGTTGAATGAGCGTGCATCAGAGTTCAACTTAGAGGAAAGAAAATTGGGGTACTTATTCTAAAAATTAACTATTAACCTTTGCATTGTTATGTCCTTCTCTTTGGAATATTTTTTTTTAATTTGGAAAAATATTTTATTATTCATGTGCAATGGGACTTGTTATTTTATTGTTAAACTTTAATTTGAGGAAATGGGTAATCTATTGAATATTGTTCTTTATATTTTTTAAGTGCAGGACAAAAAAGCTAATTAATAGCTTAAGTAGGAAGGGGGATATTCTCAGAATATCATCTATTGGGCAAGAAGAAAATTCTGCAAGTAAGAAAGAGAGTAAAAATCTTTCTAATGTGGACTGCTGTAGATTGCCACATTGGAAGTCTTTATCTATTAAAAATTAAATCAACTGTGTGAGAGAATAAGTTGGTGTGCAGGGAGAAAACATTGTTTTGCTTCGATGAAGCCCAGAGGCCTTCAAATAATCAACTACTAATTAGTAAATATTTCTGAATTTGTTTAAAAGGTATATCATATTTTGGGGATTTTCTATGTTTTCTTATGATATGTTGTAAAAGTATACGTTATATTTTCTCAGTGCTTTAGAATGTATTCTCAATTTATTTGTCTAGAAAGCATTTTTTCTTTATTTTAGACCTTAATGAACACATTTTAATTTCCTAATACAACGGTTTATCAATGTATTTTTATTTTTTGAAATTGCTCAGCATCACTTAAGCACCTGAGCCCATATTTTTCTTCTAACTCTGAAGGTAAATTTAAAAATGAGATTATACAATAGGCAAAGGACACCTCATAAATAATGAAAGAAAGAAAGAAAGAAAAAGACAAAAATTTCCAAGGGTCTACATATTGTGACTCAGAAATATTGAACAGAATCTCTAAGGTAAAAGCAGTCAGTAGAAGACTCACTAAAAGGAAAAAAAAAGAAAGAAAGAAATCCTTATGTAATATTTAGCCAAGGGCATGTTTTGTAGAAAAACTTAGGCAAAGGTTCACATAATCATGTGGGTGGGAGTGGAAATTATTCCTCACAAAGTTTAGGAAGTATTTTTAAATGTAAACTGGGCTAAATCATTCAAAGGAGTAGGAATTTTGCTAACTCTGCTTTTGGGTGACAGTTGAGACTTTCTTTTTCTTTTTTCTCTAAATCTATAGTAGGGCTAGTAAAAAGCATAAATTGTGGAAAAGTGAAAGTCAGTAACAGTTTCTTTTTTTCTGATGAATAAATAAAATTTATGTAAAAACTTAAGTCATTAAAAATTAGAAAAGAAGTAGATTTTGAGGAATATGTGGTAGGCCATGCTCTGAATTTATGTAAAATTGGTCCTCAGTTATAAGTATATTAGGTTCAACAGAATTTGGGGAATTACATCAATGACTCAAGCTTTTGTCATTCATCATATTTTAAATTAGTAATTTAGGATGGAAATTTCCCTTTTCCAGGATCTCCTTTTTCATAAACTAATGACATTTTCCTAAGAGGAAGAAAATTAAAACACATTTGCCTTTGTTATGGTTTGGATATGAGGTGTTCCCAAAATTTTGTGTATGAGACAATGAGAGGAAATTTAGAAGAGAAATGATCTGATTATGAGAGTCTTAACCTAATCAATGGAATAATCCCCTGATGGGATTAACTGAGTGGTAATTGAAGGTGGGTAGGGTGTGGCTGGAGGAGGTGGGTTACCTGGGCATGCTTTTAGGGTATCTATTTTGTATCAAGTGAGTGGAGTCTCTCTCTCTCTCCTTTCTGATTATCATGCCCACTTCCTTCCATCACACTCTTCCACCATGATGTTATGCCTCACCTCAAGCCTCAAGGCATGGAAGCTGCTGTCTATGGATTGAGACCTCTGAAACCGTGAGCCCCCACATAATTTTTTTCTCCTTAAAATTGTTCTTGTCAAGTCTTTTAATCACAGCAGTGAAAAAACTGACTAAAATACTTTTGAATTTCCAATCCTATCACTACTCACATATTTTTACATTATTGCCCCAGTCATACTACAAAGGGAGATTAAATCCCAGTATTATGATGTGTCAGGATTGGATTGATTTGGGGTCATTATTGCTTCAAAGTTCCCTTTTTATCTACCATGTTTCAAAAAGATAACACTCTCGTGGAAAGTATCTACTTCTGTATGGTTGCATCACTGAGTACTATGGAATGGAGCTCATGAGAGATTAGGAGCCCACAATCTTGGGCTGCAATAGCATCAAGGAGATATATATATATTTGGTAGGAGGAGGTTTAAAGGTTCAAGATTCCACTTGCCCTATGAGCAAAAAATACAAATGGCGACATTTTGGCACCGTTCTCTCCCTGACCAAAGCCTCTATGTAAAATGAAGGCCGCCTTTAGGAACTAAATTCCTCTTCTCCCAAGCCCGTCTTGATGGGAACAATACTACTCAAACAATTCTTCCTTAACTAACAAAATCTGCTTTGAGTGACTTGTTTCTTGAACTATGGACAGAGTTTTGTGTTTTATTTTCTCTTTATAAAACAAAACAAAACAAAAAAAACTCTGCCTGGCTTGACACCACATCATGAAGGAGGAGGATTTAGGGTTTATATGTGCTGCAGTTGTGACAGCTATACTTCATCATTCTCTACTTGCTTGGACTTTGCCACTCTGATATTGGAAACTTCTGCTTCATTGGGTTATTTCCTAGGACTGTCAAGAAAACCTAGTTTGATTTGTTTATCAATTTTTTAACACACATATTAAAATATTATTATTTTAGTCAGCTTTTCAACACTGTGACCAAAAGACTTGACAAGAACATTGTAGAGGAGAAAATGATAATTTTGGGCTCACAATCTTAGAGGTCTCATTGCATAAGATGGTCAACTCCATAGCTCTGGGCCTAAGTGGAGGCAGAACATCAGGGAGGAAGTGTGTAGAGTAGGAAAGCAGCTCAGGATAAGGCATTCAGAAAGCAGAGAGAAAGCTTTGATCCCCAATGATAAAATATATGCCCTAAAGGCACATCCAGATTAACCTATCTCTCCAGCCACACCCTACCAGCCTATAGTTATCACCTAGTTAGTTTACAACTCTCATAATATAATCACTTTACCTCTGAAAATTCTTGCATTGTCTCATATGAGCTTTGGAAGAAGACTTCATATCTAAACCACAACAATTATTAGGAGACAATTATTATATGGAGAATGCTGCCTCCAGGTTGACTGAAGTATAGACCTACTTGCTAAGAGAAATACAATGTACTCTCTAAGATCTCTGTGAATCCCCAAAGACAAATATTTGTTAACCTTGAACATAAACTCCCAGCTTCCATGTAACATTCATGCTATATTTTGCATCTTGGTGCTACATTTTTAGAGTGTCCTCAATGTGGGTCACATTCCTTTACTTGATAATCCCTCCTAAAGTCCATTCCATCAAGATGTAAATTAGACCATTTAAATATTTTTCTCAGATCTTCTCGCTATACAAAGAAGTAGCATATTGATTTTCCTCAATAAGAAGTTTCTTTCTTTAGAACCCTACAGAAGGGGTAAAATAAGTTATGCCATTAGTTCTCAAAAAATAATATCCAAAAATTTTAGCTAAAAATATATCACAGCTTCCCCCCATTCTTCTGGGATAGAAAGTGAAAATATCATAAAACTTGAGCAAATTAGAATTATCATGATGAAAACAAAACAAAACAATCCCAATCCAAACCCCCAATCTGTTTTTTTGGTCCACTTTGGAGTTAGTCATTCAGGTATCCTGTCTAAAGTGGCAGTAACATGTTGGATATACAGATTCAATGACCAGCTGCTCTTTCAGTTCCTGTTTTCAATTCAGTTCCTTTTACTCAATCTTCCATCTCCTCAGCTCCTCTTGGTCATTAACTTGTTTAGACTTTTTCTTATTGCCAGATCCCTTTCAGTCAAGCAGCCTGGGTTTGGACTACATTCTGCGTTCTGATCTGATACTTCTCCAAGAGGGGATCCCTTAGCTTTATGATGGTCTATCTGACTTGGGTCTCTGTGTAGCTGTGAAATCTCAAGCCCTCCAGCTAATCCATACAGGAAAGTGGAGGGGAGGGGTTCCAGACTGGATCCACTTGGGAGTGTCCATTAGTAATCATGTATACATAAGCTATGGAGATGGTGATCTATGCTTTCCACTCTATCTTAGATATAGAGTAATATTGAAACACTAAAAAAACATTGTTGATGGAAAATGCACTTGACTTTCTGGAAAAAAAAAAGCTCAGAAATATTTTCAGTTTCTATTGATCGGCTATATGAGACTCCTACATACTTTAGAGGGTTTAAGGGAGCAGAATATGAGGCGAAGCTTCCATATCTCTGAAACCCAAAGTCATTTTAGTTACATAAGACATCTTTTTAGACTTGTTAAAAATATTTCACATCAGATCATTTCCTAAGTGAGTGCTTTATCTCTACAATTAATAAAAGATAAAAATGGAAACCTTTAACTGATGAAGTATCCTTTTAGTTCATAAACTACTTCAATTTATGCCTATAGTCAGAACTTAACTATAAAGTATGCTTTGTACTCCCGATAAGCTTCTGCTTTGTTGAATTGCCCTGGGGAAAGAGTTTGAGATATTTCCTACGAAGAAAATTTCCTTTTGCTGTCAGAGCTGGTCCAGACAGAGCCTCAGTGAAGGTATTCGTGACAAACATTTTCCAGTCGGCACCCAGTGCATGACAGCTGATTATCCAGTCATCTCAGGCCTCTGACCTTGGAAGTGTCTCAGTCTGCTAGTACCCTTACTGGATTTAGGGATGGAGGTGTCTGGGTGAAAGAACAAATGTAGAGGGATGTCAGATCAGCTTTTCACTTTTAATCGAGTCACATTCTTCCATACTCTGAGCTTTATGACTAGCTTCCCAATACATACAGACAACACACACACATACACAAAAACACACACATATACTTCCCTCACATACAGACTCATACAAATAGATACACTCCTTTACTGCACCACTATCAGCTAATTATAAGCATTATATTGTCCTTCTGATGGCTCGATAATAATCTAAAATTCCAAAAGAATCATGAACACCAATATGATGGTATATGTAAGTCTTTACAGTAGCCCCAGGTGTAATGAGCTGAGAAAATATTTTCTGGAGAGAATAGCAAACATCTGACATTAGTCTCCTGTTTCCCATCCAGTATGGCAGAATACTTTTCTGACATATGATATCAGAATCCTCTCCTGATCATGGTCTATAAAGTCTAGGTTTGGTTTCACAATCCCTTATACTGAATTCCAGGTAGCCATAATCAAATGGTTATTGACTATGTTCAAGATGAAACCTGTTACCACTTATACCCTGAAATACTGCAAGCTACTTCTTTGACAAATTTTTCCTCTGGGTTCTCATTTTTCTCTCCAGGGACCATTTACTATTGTTGTCTACATCAAATAAGATCTCCAGTACTCCTTTTATCCTGAGGCAAATGGGGTTTATACCCTGCTCTCAGTATTTCAGGGGGGCCCTGGCTTTGAAGAATCTTCTTTAAAGGCATTTACACTGCTCTTCAATTACTGGAATGAGTTGGGTTCAGAAGTACCATTGGACTAGGGCACTCCACGTTTGGACAAGGAACTACATGGGCTCTAACTCACGTTTCTCTCATGCGGAATACCTTGACTCATTTATCCTTTGCCTGGCTCAACCAGGTACTCAAAAATATTCAGACACATGTCTTGAATGATGCACAAATCTATCCTTAGTTCCAGAACAGTGGTCTGGTAAGTTGATCACTCCAGCTGTAGGAGTACTATTGTTGTTGTTGTTGTTTCTACATACTCTTACAACATAGGAACTCTATATGCCAGTTATTGTGGATCCCAAAATACTTATTTGACAAAATTTTCCAAAAACATAATCTTTGTGCACTGTTAACATCATTCATGTCTACTCATCTTTCCTTCTTATCAATTTCCCAAAACCTCTATTTTATCTTATTTCACAAAGTGAGTAAATATTCTTGAAATATTTGCAAAATTAAAACTTACTTTTCCTATTCCTAGTCCAATGAGACCAACTATGATTGATTGGTATCACATAGGACATGGACCTAATTATAGAAGATTTCAGATGAACTTTATTCAGGAATTTCTATAAAGGTTTCTGAGGCCTAAAAGAGAAATACAATAGAAGAATTACGTCAACAAGATGAAAAAGTAGGAAGGCACATATTCTTTTTCCTCCCATGAAAACATTACTTTTGCCACAATACATGTATTGATTCCCTTTGTGGGAAATCAGGAAGCCAATTAATAGACTCTTACACTCTGGGCAAGCATGAATCTAGCTGCATAGTTCCTCCCTCAGCACAGCACCCCAAAGTTAGGAAGAAACCTGGAGCTGCTAACTACTTCCTGTCAAGGTAGAGTGAGGATTGTGCCCTATGTGTCATGTTATGAGTCTTCAGGGCTTCCTAGGAGTCTCATTAAGGAAGTCAGGGCCTAATCCGGCATGATGAAGATTTGGGCCTACTTTTTCTTCTATTAGGCAAAGGGTCTCTGTTTTAATTCCTAGGTCCTTGACCCACTTAGAGTTGAGTTTTGTTCATGGTGAGAGATAGGGGTTTAATTTCATTTTGCTACATAGAGATTTCAGTTTTCCCAGCACCATTTGTGGAAGAGGCTATTCTTTCTCCAATGTATGCTTTGGGTGCCTTTGTCTGATATAAGATAACTGTATTTATGTGGGCTTGTCTTTGTGTCTTCTATTCTGTATCATTGGTCTACATGACTGCTTTGGTGCCAATACGATGCTGTTGTGTTACTATAGCTCTATAGTATAATTAAAGGTCTGGTATTATGATGCCTCCTGATTCACTATTCTTGTTGAGGATTGCTTTGACTATTCTGGGTCTCTTATTTTTCCAAATAAACTTCATGATTGTTTTTTCTATTTTTATGAGGTATGACTTTGAGAATTTAACTGGTATCACATTGAATCTGTATTGCACTTTTGGTAGTATGCTCATTTTGACAATATTAATTCTGTCTATCTTAGAGCATGGGATATCTTTCTATCTTCCAAGGTCTTCTTCAATTTCTTTCTTTAGTATTTTGTAACTTCTCAGCAAAAGAAATAATCAATGAGGTGACAAGAGAGCCTATAGTATGGGAGCAAATTTTTACCACACACACATCAGATAGAACACTAATTTTTACCACACACACATCAGATAGAACTAAAAAAACGTAACACCAAAAACAAACAAACAAACAACCCAATCAATAAATGGGCTAAGGAACTAAAGAGACACTTCCAGAAGATGATATTCAATTAATTAACAAATATATGAAAAATGTTCAACATCCCTAGTAATTAGAGAAATGTAAATCAAAACTACTTTAAGATTTCATCTCACTCCAGTCAGAATGCTTCTATCAAGAATAGAAGCAACAATAATTGTTGGTGAGGATGTGTGGGAAAAGGCACACTCACACATTGCTGGTGGGACTGCAAATTGGAGAAACCAATCTGTAAATCAGTATGGAGATTCCTTTAAAAACTTGTAATGGAACCACCATTTGACCCAGCTATCCCACTCTTTGACCTATACCAAAAGGACTTAAAAGCAGCATATTACAGTTATACAGCCACATCAATGTTTCTAGCAGCACAATTCACAATAGCCAAACTGTGGAACCAAAGTAGATGCCCTTCAATAGATGAATGGATAAAGAAACTGTGGTATATTTACACAATGGAATATTACTCATCAATAAAAGAGAATAAAATTATGGCATTTGCCGGTAAATGGATGGGGTTGGAGAATATCGTGGTAAGCAAAGTAAGCCAATCCCAACAAATGTTTCCTCTAATAAGTGGATGCTAATCCATAATGGGGAATGTATGGAATGAGTGGAGGAACTTTGGACTGGGCAAAGGGAAGGGAGGGGAGTTGGGTGTAAGTAGGTAGGAAAGATGGTGGAATGAGACAGACATCATTACCCTGAGTACATGTATGATTTGCACAAATGATGTGACCTGACTTCATGTACAGAGAAGTGAAAAATTGTACTTCATTTGTGTACAATGAATCAAACAGCATTCTGCTGTTACATATAACTGATTAGAACAAATAATAATAATAATAATAAAGTCTTCTTAGGTGTCTGATATCATCTTAAAGCACTGATGGTACTTAACAAAATCTAGATATCTTGGCACCAATGCAAACAACAAAGAGCTAGGTAGAATGCTGCTACTCCCAGAGACCTGATAGAGCACTCAGAGCTGATATAGCTGGGTGAACTCACCTTCAGGAGAAAAGGGAAAAGTTGCATTACATCTGACATTCCAGCTCTTCAGAAGGCTGTCCAAGGGTCTGGTTTCTGCTTGTGTTGGAGTCAAGATGGGACTTGGCAAAATCTAGATGCTTGGATGGAGGACACGAGAACAATAAAAGCTGGATGGTGTGCAGCTACTTTAGAGAACCTGTGATACAGCACACAAATACCAAAGGAAACAAGATGTATGAGCTCCTGAAAAAAAATGAAACACAAACCCCTCTAATTAGGAACCTAGTCATACAAATTAAGAGAAGACGTATCTACAGAAGAAGTTTGAGAGACCCCCACAATCTCTAACCAGCCTGTTGGTGAAGTTCTTTTCTTATAAAAGCTGCTTTGTAAGGACTGGAACAGGTGGCTTTTTTTTTTCTCTCTCTCTCCAAATATTTGTATACCAACACAAAGCCATGAAGAACACAAAGAAATGGGGCAAGTGACTCAATAAAAGGGACAAAGTTAATGTTCAGAAACTGACACTTTTAAGAAAAGGAAGCATATGAATTACCCAAAAAGTAATTGAAAATTTGCATAATAAAGATCTCTAATCAGCTCAGGAGAATGACACATAGACAAAATTAAAAGGCAAGAGATAACAATTAGTAAACAAAAAGATATAAAATATAAAAAAAACTGAAGAGAAGTTTGGAGATAAAAATTCAATAAATAAAAAAATTATTAGATTCAATCAAGGACTTTATGATGAAAAAGATGGTAACCCCAATAAGGGTAATAATTTGAAATTATCTTGTTAGAGGAGGAAAAAACAAAATAAAATTCTGTTTTGTGTAGGTCCCATGGTAACTACCTAGAAAATACCTATAGATTATACAATAGGAAAAATGAGAAAGGAACCAAAGAAAGTTACAACAAAAAAAATCAATGAAACACAAAGGAAGAGAGCGAAAGAGGATGAGAGGAACAAAAGAGCTAAAAGAAAGATGGTATACCATTACCAGAATTGAGATAATAAATACTTATCTGTCAATAATTGTCTTTTTTTTTTCTTTGAGTTTCTCAACAAATTTTTAATTTTAGATCACTATAAAAATAACCTTAGCAGAGTTTAAAAAAAAACAGTTAACCCCGATTATAAACAATAGAATAACTCACTACCCTATCATCACAGGTGAGAGATGTTTCCTCATTTACTTCCTTTTTTTTTAAATTTTTTTTTTATTGTTGGTTGTTCAAAACATTACATAGTTCTTGATATATCATCTTTCACACTTTGCTTCAAGTGGGTTATGAACTCCCATTTTTAGACCATATACAGATTGCAGAATCACATCAATTACACATCCATTGATTTACATATTGCCATACTAGTGTCTGTTGTGTTCTGCTACCTTTCCTATCCTCTGCTATCCCCCTCCCCTCCCCTCCCCACCCCTCTTCTCTCTCTATCCCCTCTACTGACCTTCATTTCTCCCCCTTGTATTATTTTTCCCTTTCCCCTCATTTCCTCTTGTATGTTCTTTTGTATAACCCTGAGGGTCTCCTTCCATTTCCATGCAATTTCCCTTTTCTCTCCCTTTCCCTCCCACCTCTCATCTCTGTTTAATGTTAATCTTCTTCTCATGCTCTTCGTCCCTACTCTGTTCTTAGTTACTCTCCTTATATCAAAGAAGACATTTGGCATTTGTTTTTTAGGGATTGGCTAGCTTCACTTAGCATAATCTGCTCTAATGCCATCCATTTCCCTGCAAATTCTATGATTTTGTCATTTTTTAATGCAGAGTAATACTCCATTGTGTATAAATGCCACATTTTTTAAATCCATTCGTCTATTGAAGGGCATCTGGGTTGGTTCCACAGTCTTGCTATTGTGAATTGAGCTGCTATGAACATTGATGTAGCAGTGTCCCTGTAGCATGCTCTTTTTAGGTCTTTAGGGAATAGACCGAGAAGGGGAATAGCTGGGTCAAATGGTGGCTCCATTCCCAGCTTTCCAAGAAATCTCCATACTGCTTTCCAAATTGGCTGCACCAATTTGCAGTCCCACCAGCAATGTACTAGTGTACCCTTTTCCCCACATCCTCGCCAGCACTTGTTGTTGTTTGACTTCATAATGGCTGCCAATCTTACTGGAGTGAGATGGTATCTTAGGGTGGTTTTGATTTGCATTTCTCTGACTGCTAGAGATGGTGAGCATTTTTTCATGTACTTGTTGATTGATTGTATGTCCTCCTCTGAGAAGTGTCTGTTCAGGTCCTTGGCCCATTTGTTGATTGGGTTGATTGTTCTCTTATTGTCTAATTTTTGGAGTTCTTTGTATACTCTGGATATTAGGGCTCTATCTGAAGTGTGAGGAGTAAAGATTTGTTCCCAGGATGTAGGCTCTCTATTTACCTCTCTTATTGTTTCTTTAGCTGAGAAAAAACTTTTTAGTTTGAGTAAGTCCCATTTGTTGATTCTAGTTATTAACTTTTGTGCTATGGGTGTCCTATTGAGGAATTTGGAGCCCGACCCCACAGAATGTAGATCGTAGCCAACTTTTTCTTCTATCAGACGGCGTGTCTCTGATTTGATATCAAGCTCCTTGATCCATTTTGAATTAACTTTTGTGCATGGCGAGAGAAAGGGATTCAGTTTCATTTTGTTGCATATGGATTTCCAGTTTTCCCAGCACCATTTGTTGAAGATGCTATCCTTCCTCCATTGCATGCTTTTAGCTTCTTTATCAAATATAAGGTAGTTGTAGTTTTGTGGATTGGTTTCTGTGTCCTCTATTCTGTACCATTGGTCCACCCGCCTGTTTTGGTACCAGTACCATGCTGTTTTTGTTACTATTGCTCTGTAGTATAGTTTGAAGTCTGGTATCGCTATACCGCCTGATTCACACTTCCTGCTTAGCATTGTTTTTGCTATTCTGGGTCTTTTATTTTTCCATATGAATTTCATGATTGCTTTCTCTATTTCTACAAGAAATGCCGTTGGGATTTTGATTGGCATTGCATTAAACCTATAGAGAACTTTTGGTAATATCGCCATTTTGATGATGTTAGTTCTGCCTATCCATGAACAGGGTATATTTTTCCATCTTCTAAGATCTTCTTCTATTTCTCTCTTTAGGGTTCTGTAGTTTTCATTGTATAAGTCTTTCACCTCTTTTGTTAGGTTGATTCCCAAGTATTTTATTTTTTTTGAAGATATTGTGAATGGAGTGGTTGTCCTCATTTCCATTTCAGAGGATTTGTCGCTGATATACAGGAATGCCTTTGATTTATGCGTGTTGATTTTATATCCTGCCACTTTGCTGAATTCATTTATTAGCTCTAATAGTTTCTTTGTAGACCCTTTTGGGTCTGCTAGGTATAGAATCATGTCATCTGCAAATAGTGATAATTTAAGTTCTTCTTTTCCTATTTTGATGCCTTTAATTTCTTTTGTCTGTCTAATTGCTGTGGCCAGTGTTTCGAGAACTATGTTGAACAGAAGTGGTGAGAGAGGGCATCCCTGTCTTGTTCCAGATTTTAGAGGGAATGCCTTCAATTTTTCTCCATTCAGAATGATGCTAGCCTGAGGCTTAGCATAGATTGCTTTTACAATATTGAGGTATGTTCCTGTTATCCCTAGTTTTTCTAGAGTTTTGAACATAAAGGGATGCTGTACTTTGTCGAATGCTTTTTCCGCATCTATCGAGATGATCATATGGTTCTTATTTTTAAGTCTATTGATGTGGTGAATAACATTTATTGATTTCCGCATATTGAACCAGCCTTGCATCCCAGGGATGAATCCTACTTGATCATGGTGCACAATTTTTTTGATATGTTTTTGTATCCTATTCGCCAGAATTTTATTGAGGATTTTTGCATCTAGGTTCATTAGAGATATTGGTCTGTAGTTTTCTTTCTTTGAAGTGTCTTTGTCTGGTTTAGGTATCAGGGTGAGGTTGGCCTCGTAGAATGAATTTGGAAGTTCTCCCTCTTTTTCTATTTCCTGAAGTAGCTTGAAAAGTATTGGTATTAGTTCCTCTTTAAAGGTTTTGTAAAATTCTGCTGTATACCCATCCGGTCCTGGGCTTTTCTTAGTTGGTAGTCTTTTGATGGTTTCTACTATTTCCTCGATTGATATTGGTCTGTTTAGGTTGTCTATATCCTCCTGACTCAATCTGGGCAGATCATATGACTTCAGAAATTTATCTATGCCTTCACTATCTTCTAATTTATTGGAGTATAAGGATTCAAAATAATTTTTGATTATCTCCTGTATTTCTGAAGTGTCTGTTGTGATATTGCCTTTTTCATCCCGTATGCTAGTAATTTGAGTTCTCTCTCTTCTTCTCTTCGCTAGCATGGCTAAGGGTCTGTCAATTTTGTTTATTTTTTCAAAGAACCAACTTTTAGTTTTGTCAATTTTTTCAATTGTTTCTTTTGTTTCGATTTCATTAATTTCAGCTCTGATTTTAATTATTTCTTGCCTTCTACTTCTTTTGCTGTTGTTTTCCTCTTCTTTTTCTAGGATTTTGAGATGAAGTATGAGATCATTTATTTGTTGGTTTTTTCTTTTTTTAAGGAATGAACTCCAAGCAATGAATTTTCCTCTTAGAACTGCTTTCAATGTGTCCCATAGATTCCAATATGTTGTGTCTGTGTTTTCATTAATCTCTAAGAATTTTTTAATTTCCTCCTGATGTCTTCTATAACCCATTGATCATTCAGTAACCTATTGTTCATTCTCCAAGTGATGTATGCTTTTTCCTTCCTTCTTTTATCATTGATTTTCAGTTTCATTCCATTATGATCAGATAGGATGCATGGTATTATCTCTACTCCTTTATATTGTCTAAGAGTTTCCCTGTGACATAATATATGATCTATTTTTGAGAAGGATCCATGTGCTGCTGAGAAAAAAGTGTAACTGCTTGATGTTGGGTGGTATATTCTATATATGTCAATTAAGTCTAGGTTATTAATTGTGTTATTGAGTTCTATAGTTTCCTTATTCAACTTTTGTTTGGAAGATCTGTCCAGTGGCGAGAGAGGTGTGTTGAAGTCTCCCATGATTATTGTATGGTGGTCTATTAGACTCTTGAACTTGAGAAGAGTTTGTTTGATGAACATAGCTGCACCATTGTTTGGGGCATATATATTTATGATTGTTATGTCTTGTTGGTGTATGGTTCCCTTAAACAGTATGTAG